AAATAAATTCAAGTAAATACGCACAGAAAAGAGCCCTCCCCACAACAGCAGAGCAAGAAAACCCACAAATGCATGGGAAATAAGAAGGAAATTGAGGGATAGCTCATGGGGCTGAATGCTACTGAAGATGGCCCAGCCCACTAAAGGGTGCTATGTGGACTGTTCAGTGTCTGCTGGGGCGGTTGCCATGGGAAGCCTCTTTGTTGGAAACCCTACTCACCCTGCCCAGCTGTGGGAGTCACAGGTTAGGGTGAGGGATCAGGTTTCCTCTCCCTGAGAGACTGGTACCCTGGAGACACTCTGAGCCTTGTGTCCTTTCATTGTAGGCTGGCGTCAAGATTATGCTAATTAATTCCAAGTCCCAAGACTCTTGTTGCCTGGTGACAAAGTTGCACAGTGGAAGGGCATCCGGACAAAAGGCAGGTAAGGTTTTGCTCCTTGGTGGCCCATGCCTATTGATCTGCTTCAAGCCCCTTTCCCCTCTCCTCTGAGTAAATAGCTCACAGATGTCTGCTATCCTGTCCGGGCTGCTCTGTTTACAAAGCCCAGACACTAGCTAATGCATTATTTAAGAGAGGAGGCCACACACCCTGAGTCCTGGCCAGCACAAACAGCTCACTGGGGACACAGGCTGGTCTTCAGGTGCCTGGAGCCATGGGCAAGCTTGGCAAGGCAGATGTATGATCACTGGGTACATGGGAGTCACAGCTTGGTTCTTCCTAAAAGCTGGGTCTCTGGATATTTTTGCTGGCCAATAGCTGGGGGAGGGAAAATGCAGGCTCAGAAAGGCCAGGAGACTTGTACAAAGTCACACATACAGAGGGACAGAGCAGTGACCAGCCTTCCAGCCAGGATGACACATTGTCCTCTGGGTTTGAGTGTGAGCCTCCAGAGCAGAAGGGAAGTACTGAGGCAGTCACTGTATCCTGCAGTGTCCTGAAGTACCTGCCCACGCTTGTCTATTGGTGGTTTGTCACTAGTTCCTTTGTGGGTCTCCACGGGTCCCTTGGGGCTGGGAGGGAAAGAGCTTCCCACACTGCCCCTTCTGTTGGTAGGGTGATAGAAAAGTGAAAACCAGATGAACTTTCCAGATTCCTTTTCCTGTCCCTACAGAGCGCAAGGTGTGTCAATGCAACCACCCCTAGCCCTGACAGGCCACCTGCTGAAACAGCCACCTCAGACTGTCACCAATTTGATCCACCACCAACTGTGGATCAACATTTCCCAGATCTCTATCAGTCTCAGGGAATGAGACTTGTCTGACACCATGGCTGGCTCTGTGACCCACATATGCCTTCCTTTCAGTCTGGGATGAGCCATGGGGATAGGCCTTGGCCTAGACAGGGTAAACATTCCCACGTGACCGTGCTCCGCTCCCTCCAGCTCCTACAGAGAATAATTCATCAGGAGCTTGCCTGATGCAAAGCCAAATGCATTGCAGGACACTGTAGACATCCACGGACAAACCACATGGCAGCTAGGTTCACAGCATAAGGAAACAAGAGATCCTGGCTCTGAGTTGGTAGTGTGTGCCTGATGAAGGACAGGCTGTCAAGCCTTGGGGTTTCTTCTGGGAAGTGGGGTATATGGTTTAAGTGAGATGAGGCTCACAAAGCATCCAGACATAATATACCCCATTAAAAAAAAAAACAAGAAAGAAATAGTAAATGCCAAGGCCAACAAGGCTCAATCAAATGCTCATACTACACATACCAAACCTACCTCTGGGTATACATTACCTTCCTCTGCTGCTACCCTGTTCCGTCTTCGTATGCCACACTGTCCCCCTTTCCTATCTCTCCAGCAGCCAGCTATTCGTAGCCAGACACCTTCAGGCCTGCCCCTGAGTAGGTGGCTACCTCTCACAGGCACTAAGCATCTTTCTTCCCACGTGCCTTTTATACCCTGAGAGCTTTCTACCACCTGGTATATCTGAAGAAACTGAGTTAAGAAAAGTCCATGACTCACCCTCAAAATCACACATTAGCAGAAGCGGGTAGCCAAGGCTATTGTCCCAGAACTTTGTCTCCATGTGTCGGGCCCTGTCCCCTACCTCCTCCTTCTCTTTTCTTTCAGATGCTTTCACATCTCCTCTACCACCTCAGGCTTCTCTCAGCTCTCAGGACATCTGTCCTTGAGACACACCCCTCTTCCTGGACTATTTCCTAAGCATTTCAAGTAACTGCAAATGCCACCTTCCCAGGGAGGACTTCTCGGCGCCCCCTCTGAAATTAGCCATCCCCATACAGTAGTATCTGCTTCCTCACTCCAGCACTCTCTTTTACACAATTACGTCTATCATCGGCAGAGCATTTACACCACTGGAAATGGCCCTGGGCTTCTTGATTTGCTTGCTCAGCAACTGGGAAATTCATGAAAACCACAACACTGTCTGCCTTAGTCATTCACTGCCTGTCTCCTGACCCTGCTTGTAGTACAACAGCCCCCCTCCCCACCCCACCAAACCGATGAGTGGATGAACAAATGAACAAATGAACGAATGAGTGGGTGATTAGCTTGAACGATAGAGAACTCTAGAGATTAAAAGCAGGTAAACACATGTATACATGGCTTTTCTGTTCTTGTATTGCTGGTGATATTAACAGTGTGTGTTTAAAAGTGTGGTTTTATTCAGGAGTCTTCAAAGACTGATTCCCAAGCCTACACCTGACATAATAGACCAGAAATATTGTCCAGGGTTGCTGGTGGGAAGAAGGAGGTGGTGAACAGTATGTACTGCCAGGTTAATCTCAGTCCACAGGAGCTGGTGTCACTTAGTACCCACCACACCCCTTGGCAGATAGGAAACACGTTCCTTCTTTTAACAAATCACCACTTACTGATCTATTCTGCAGATAGTAAGTGGACCCCAGAAATGTTATATGGCCCAGGCTGACAATGACAGCTCCTGCTGCCTGCTGTCTAGTGCTCCCATATACATCTAGAAAGGGACAGACCAGATGGCTCCAACGTGGGTGACATGAGAGATATGAAAAACTGCCTTCCTAAACACAGTAGTATTCGTTCACATCATTCTTGATAATAGTCGTATCTGTCGGTCCAGAGTTAACAGGAAGGGGCCACACATACTCGCATACACACACACACACACACACACACACACACACACACACACACACACACTGATACATACATACACACTCACACTCACATACACACACATGCACACTCATACATACACATACTCACCCTCACACACACTCACATCCATATACACACACTCATACACTCACACACACTCTCTCTCACACACACTGATACACACACACACATATATACACACTCACATACACACACAGATACACATACACACACACTCACACTCACATACACTCACTCATATACACACTCATACATACACTCATATACATACACACACACACTACAATTTATGGAACATGAAAACAGTGTCATATTGTGTGAGTGTGTGTGAACATTTCATATACACTGTAGAGAATATGGAAACACTGGCAGCAATATTATCTCCAGCTTTTCCATTGCTGCTTCTCTCATTCTCTCTCTCCCTCCTCTCTCTCCTCTCTCTCTCTCTCTCTCTCTCTCTCTGTGTGTGTGTGTGTGCTCTTAAGAGCACTGGGATCATGTGAACATTTCTTGTTAACATATCTTAAACATCTTACATTTTTGTACTTTTTGAGAAAAGGTTTTTGCTTTGTTTTATATTTAATTTATTCTGTGAGTATACAGTAATTCAATAATCATCCTTTATTTGACGTCTTAACTATTTTATACACAGGACGTCCTATCTTTGTTTCCTAAAGGGGGCTCTTAGAACATCTCCATTCTTTCCCAATGGCTGATCCATCTCTCCTAGTCTCTGTACCATCTCTTCGCTCCATCCCAGCCTCCTTCTTCCACCACAGACCCTCTCTCCCTCTGGATGCTTTTCCTTCTTTTCTATGTTTAACTCAACTAAAATAGCTCCAACTGTGATGCTGCCAAGCCCTTCCAGCACACTCACTGTTGTAGCCACACATGCCACCAGGAGGGCTGGAGAGGTGGCTCCTTAATTATGAGTACTTGCTCCCAGAAAACCCAAGGTAGTCAATCACCTGTAACTCTAGGTCTAAGGAATCCAATACCCACTTCTGGCATCCACCAGCATATGTCACCCACATGCACAAATTAAAAATCTCTCTCTCTCTCTCTCTCTCTCTCTCTCTCTCTCTAAATATATATATATATATATATATATATTTATATATATTTATATATATATATTCATTCTTGACCCCAAGAGTGGCACACCCAAGGCTGACCATCACATTCAGTGAGCACCAATCATTTATGTGCCAGAGTCGTCTTCTACTCACAAAACCTTTAAAAACCCCTTTTGTGTTCTAAAAATCATTTTAACATAGCTAGAAAAACAATAAATCAAGTCAGTCATCCAGGGCCAAGATATGTTCAGGTACAAACGACTGGAGGCCCTGTGTGCCTCCATGTGTCCTCTTGTCTTCCAGGATGAAGAAAAGCCCAGGAGGCAGGGATGGCTGTGGTAGTACATCAGTACTTCTCAACCTGTGGGTTGTGACCTTGGTGGTGGGGTTGTCAAATGACCCTCTCACAGGGGTTGCATATCAGATATCCTACATATCAGATGCGGACATTATGATTCATAAGAGCAGCGAATTTGCATTTATGAAGTAGCAATGAAATAATTTTATGGTTGGAGGTCACCACAACATGAGGAGCTGTATTAAAGGAGTCGAGGCATTAGGAAGGTTGAGAACCACTGTAATACAGGAAGGTGTCAGGCTGCAGTTTGTAGGGGGTTTCTACCCAGCACAGGCCCTGGACCTGGTCCAGTACTGGCAGGTTCTACCCTACTGTCCATCGCTGTCCATCCTCTCCCCCTCCTCACAAGGCTTCCATGTCTTCCCTTGTATCTTAGCATCCCTCCCCTTGGAATCAGTCTCTGCGTTACTATTACCAGCAGTGGAAACTGAGGCTCAGGAGGTAGTCCAGCTTCCTATCAATGGTGAGTGGGGACCATGTGGGGTGGGTGGGGACCTGGTCTCATAGCTTTGGACACCCACTCCACCATGCTGCTTGTCTGAACCCCAGTTGAGTGGTCTGCAAGAGGAGGGGGTGGCCGTGAAAAGAGAAAAGGAAACAATTTCTGTCTGTGATAGCAGACCTTGAAACACATGGCTTGCAATGGAGCTAAAGCACTGGTCCACCACGAGTCTTTTGTCCTTTGCTTGTGTTCAGGCTGGTTTGTGTGTTTGGAGTATGTGGTTGATGAACAAGGCCTTTCTAGTCTGTTAAACTAATAATCTTAAAATTTTATTTTAATTGTAAGGCACCTATTCCCTTTTGTTCCTTTAACAAATCCAATTAAAACGGAGTACACCCAGAATTACGAAATAGATGCTATTAAACCAATAAGAAATCATAATCTTTCGTTATGGGGCCATGCGACCCCTGGGGAACTTTTGCTCCAAATAAAAGTTGAATTCTTATTACCCACCAGGGGAAAGAGGGCGGTTTGACAGATAGTGGCTTCCAGGCAGCAAGTATGCCAAGCCATGCCAGTGCTCAGAGAGAAGTAAATAATACAAGGGTGGGCAGGGCTGCAAACACAGGAGGTCCCAGCAAGATCCTCAGAACAGCTTTTCCAAATTAACCAGTTAACTGCTGAATCACTGAATGACACCCAGTGTGGACACTGTTGGTTTCCAGTCTGGGAGGAGAAGCTGTGGAGGGATGGGAAGATTTCTCCTCTACCAATCTAGAACAAGTCTCTATGTGAGCTTGGACAGCTCACTCATCCCACCCCCACCAACTCTGAAGCACCCTCCCCTGTGGAATGAGAAGTGCAGCCCTGCCTGAGGTGTGAGGGGGAAGGAAAGACAAAGAGAAAACCCCCAGTGAAGAAAAGGGCATGAGTGTGTGAGAGGCTGGTTTGACTACACCTCACTAGGAGAGGTTGAGAGGTGGGCAGGAAGCATCAGCTGACAGATGACCTGTGCAAAGAGCCAACTGCCTGCCTGCCTGCCTGCCCGCCTCTCTCTCTCTCTCTCTCTCTCTCTCTCTCTCTCTCTCTCTCTCTCTCTCTCCAGTGTGTGTGTGTGTGTGTGTGTGTGTGTGTGTGTGTGTGTCTGTCTGTCTGTCTGTCTGACTGACTGTCTGTCTGTCTGTCTTCTGTCTGTCTGGTTTTTTTGAGAAAAGTTCTCCTTATGTAGCCCAGGCTGACCTTAAACTTGTGATAATCCTTTTGTTTCCGACTCAAGTTCTGGAATTGTAGGCATACTCCAATACTCCATACTCCACCATTCCCAGCAGAAGGGCTAGCTTTTAATGTGAGCTCATGTGAAGAAGAGCATCCAGAATACTCCAAGGCAAAAGTGTGACTGTTTAGGTAGTGACAAGGAATGTAGTTAGCTTCTAGCTCGGGCCATGCTGGGTGAGAATCTTGTCTTTACATCCTCAGCTCATCCAGTATAAAAAGATGTTCACACTAAGTCAGCTCCATGGGAACTAAAGGGGCTGAAGGACAAAATCCCTGTCTTCATTACTGCCCACATCAGCAAGCAAGCACACATATTTATTGAGCCACTGTATGGATTTACGTATGTCTATTAAACATTACTAACATTTATACATACATACATTCATTCATTCATACATACATACATATTCTATTAATTGATCAGGTAAAGGGACAACCTAAATGGTTTCTACAATTCCCATCTCCATATGTTCCCTTCAGAAGAAGTTCAGTGGGATATGTACACAGCTGACCCATTCAGAAACTTAGACCAAATTTATTATCTTCTCATCTCACTATCTAGTTGACAGAGAGTACATTCTCCTCAAACAGTTCTCAGATTAAGATAGGCAATGTTAGTATGTACCAGAGCCAGTGTCTGGTCCCTGAGAATCTGGGGACCTTAATACACTTGGGACCCACTATCATGGAAACCACTAGTAGGAATTCACCTTCTTGGGTTTGGGGCATGGCCTTAATATTCCATTGCAGTAAAATGGACAGGGTTTTAGTCTGGGAGTACTAGGGTTCCAGAATGTCTTTCTCAGTTCGGACTCAATGGAAGCCAGCATTGTCACCACTGAGCACAGATAGAACAAAGGAGGTTGAGGGGAAGCAGATTGTACTGGAAGTTTGTGTATAAATTTAGCTATCAGAGCCATCTAGGTTTGACTTTGACCGTGTCCTTTGTAACCTGGGGCAAGTAAGTCACTTGACTATTCAGAATCTAAACATCGTTCTTTTAATGAATAGTGCTGATCTCTAGCATAATAGCTACAGAGACTGGTGATGTATGAGGGCCAAGCAGTATGTTCACAGAAAGGTCCTTAGCACATCTCACCTAGTCAATGATGGTGTATGAACCGTGACAGCTGGCAGCATTTCACAATAGATATCAGAAAATGCTGAGATCATGTCCCTGGAAGGTTCCGTCCACACTGTCTACATCTCTACACAGTGGAGGCCATTAGTAGAAAGAGTGGAACATTTCACACTGCAATAGCACTCCTAAATGCAAATAATACCATAAAACACACAGCATACATTTCCTGGCCCAGGATGGGTGACATGACCCCAGTGGACATGATGCTTAAGTCAGACATCAGTGATGATTTGGGGGGACATCTGTGAGGAGTGCCAAATACATCTCTGCACCAAAGGGACTCAGTGACCCGTGTCTCTAACTCCAAAGTGACTCGTGGTAGGATGCTAAAGCCCCTCCTTGGAGTGAGTAGACCTATTTGGGGGAAGTGATTGAGGACACAGGATGATATGGAGCCATGTGGGAAACCACAGCAGCAGATGAGCCGATTTGTTCCTTGCCCAGTAAACGTGACGACGGGCCAAAAACAAACACATTTCCAAGGGTGCTCGGTCTGTGATGATTGGCCCTGTGATTTCTTGACTTCCAGGTAGGAGTAAAAGTAGCAACCATTCAGCATCATACCTGGAAATTTGAATTTGTATGGTTTTTCCCAATCTAGCAATGTGACATATGAACCCCATCCCACCTCCCCCCATGGTGGGCAGCTGCCACCAGCACTCTACAGGTGCTGGTGGCTAAGCTGGGCTCTTCGGGAGACTGGGTAGAGTCAATGCATGGTTCTCTTACAAGTGAGGAGGGGATTATCAGGGTATATCATGCCATGTTGAGAGCCAGCTGTACTTGGGGATTAATAGATTTCTCAGGGAAGTTTTTGTCATTGCCTAAGAGGTGCCCCATAAGCAAAGGGCATCCATATGACATGAAGTTTTCCTCAAACGCTGGCTAAGAAACAGTGGTCATTTGGCAAGTCCGGTTCAATTATGTGTCTAGTGTACATCTAATACATCAGTCAAAGAATGAAGTAATTATTGTGATACTATGCTAGAAAGTTATTCACATGTTTTAACCCTGTAAAAACAGTGAGCGTTGCTTAAAAATGAAATCAAAGACTTGAGTGTGAGGCACCAGGCACATGCCAGCATTGTGGTGGTTGTAAGGATCTTAGAGCTGAAGATGTTTGCAAATGTCTTGATGCTATTAAAATATAGGTTGCCATTACATTTTTAATTTAAATATCTGTGGGGTGTCCTCCCATGCTGTTTCATTCACAATGACTAGATAGAAAAATATATTCAGAAATTAAAATCAGACCAACTGGCTCATTCTCCCCCACCCCCACTCGCCCCAAGTATAAAACACAACTGTAAAGGACAGACAGAAAAAGAAAACAGGACCTACTTGCTTAGAACCCTCTTGTACTGGCTTTCTAGTCTGAACCCTTTTGTACTGGGCTTTCTAGTCTGAACATGTACAACAAAACTCCCCTCATCCATAGGTTCTCTCACCCATAGCCCATCCATCTATCTGTTGTATTTATGCATTTTATCCTAGTGGGTTGGCCACACTATATTTGAAGATTTCCACAAGCTGATAAGAACAATCTATTTAATGTTTTGACTATGTAGAAAGATCATCTGTTTTATCCTTCTACGGTCACTATGTACTCTCCATTCCAGGGGTGGGCCTGGCCTTAACTGGAGAGTGACAGGGAAGAGGTCCCTGTTCTCTCCCTCTGAAATAGAGCTTGTGGCATGACCCAATTCCAGTGGTGCCAAGCAGCTTCAGGGATCAGAAGGGTCTCTGGTCAGCACAGCACACTGAACCTTCTACAGCGGATGATCCCAGCCAGCGATAGTGTCCTTGAAGAAAGCATTAAGGAAGGAGGGGGCTCCTCATGTTCCCACCTGGCTTGATCTGTCTGGGGATCCAGACTCACTAGGGAGGTGGCAAAGTGCATTAGGCCAGTCAGCCCCCTACTCTGCCTTAAGCTGATTAATGGGCAGGCTCAGAGCCAAAGGGCCCATTGTAGAGAGACTCCTTAATGGAACAGTGTTCTCATGGCTCCCTTAACCCCCACTACTCAGACCTGAGAGGGCTTCTACCCACAGCATGGGTGGGCTGTCAGGGTAGGTTCAGCTGGCCTAACTGAATTCCAGTCTGCTGGAAACATCCTGTCTTGTCCGGGAGCCCTCTAACTCATGCTTCAATTTATCTTAAATAGAAGAAAACCAAATGGCAGCCAGCCTTTGACTATGCATGGCAGTCTGGTGGCCAGAATTAGTGACCTCTCTGGATTTTAGCTTTTTAAACAAGGGTACGAGCTCATTTACAAAATGTGTCATTCAGAGGCTTGAGACCAGGCAGGCCCCAGTACACTCAATGAGTGAACAGATGGATTCAGGCAAGGGACTTGGTTTAAACCAGTCTCAAAGGACTAAGGCCCTCAGACAAAGGTAATTTTATTTACTGCTTGTTCAGGTCCCAGGCTATGGCTGCCAAGTAAAATACAAGCCTACACAGGATTTGAAATGTTCAAATTAATGCCATCTCTTGTTCATGTGAAACTCAAGTTTGACTTTCACTTTATTTTGCTGTGTCTGGGCACTCTTACCGTGGAGAGGTACTAATAAACAGAAGAGCATGAAGATCATGAGTATATAGGCTTTCCTGAGCTGAATTCATCTTTTTGGTAAACTCAAGTGCAGAACAGTTTCTCTGACATGATTCCTGTGAAGACCTCTTGCCCATGTTCACACCAAAGTTCAGATACTGCACATCTGCTTGCTCTTCAAGGGACAGAGTAGGACTTTTGTGGACACACACACACACACACACACACACACACACACACACACACACACACACACTCATGTAACTCTCCCCAAAGCAGGGTCCATTCAGCTCCACCATCCCCAGAAAACTCACCCACACTACTTCCTAGTAACCTAGTGTCCCCAGCCCATAGTCCCTGCCTTGGTGGATCTGCTTCCGGCAGCTACAGAAATGGATTCACTCATCATGCAATGGCCTCTTCTGGGCAGCAGTATGCTCTTAGGAGTCACTTAGGTTAATATACATCTGAGTAAATACGTCATTTTTATAAACATCTCTTTACAAATACTTGAAATGCACTTTTATTTTTCACTGATACATCATAACTGTGAATATTTATAGGATATGACATGACATTTCAATGCATGCATGCATGCATACACACACACAAACATAACAGACAGAGACCATAAATACAACCACCATTTAGTGCTCAGTTGTATTCTAGTGTAAGGAATTCATCTGCAGGAGGATGCATTTCCCCCTGTGGGTCAGTTGTGAATGGGGCACTGTTAAACACAGAAGTAAGCTTTTCTTGGACATAAGCTTTTTTTTTTCTCCTGAACACCTGCTGAGGAAGATGCAACATGATGAGAATGTGGTTAATTTTTATAAAAAATAGCCATACTGTTTCTGGTGCTGCCCTACTGTGCATTCCACAAGGTGTTTGCTGTGGACTAATGGCTTTATGTTTATTTCCACTATAAGACCTTCTTCCTCTAATCTGGATTCCAGACCTTTTTGCCTGCATAGCTTACAAATACTTTCCACCACTCTCTGGTTTCCACACAGTCTATAAGTTATCAGTTTAAAGAATGTACAAAAAATTTCATGATAGTCTCTACGTAGACAAGGAGGTCACCTATGCAGATAGATATCCTTACTTCATTCTTTTCTAACTGTATACCCTTTATTTTCTTGCATTATTTTACTTCCTAGAAGTTCTAATATAACATTGATAGGTACAGTCAATTGCCTGCCTTATTCATACACCTGGGGTCAGGGAGGCATTCAGTTTCTTTTAAAAGACTTGAATTTAAGTTACGTGCATATGTGTATGTCTGTGTATGTGCACCTCAGTGTAGTGTCCCCAGAGGCCAGAAGAGGGCACTAGATTCCCTGGAGCTAGAATTACAGATGGCTATGAATTACAGGTGGCTATGAGCTGCCCAAGGCGAGTAGTAGGAACTGACTCTATCTGATACAAGAGCAGAAAGTGCTCTGAAGGGCTGAGCAGTCCTTCCACTCCCCCCACCCTCCGCTTTCCTTCTTAATAAGAGACTACAAAGCTCTGGGGTTGCCTTAAATCACTGTTTTGCTTTCCTGCCACAGGTTTTGATTTGTTTTCATTTTTGTTCATACTATGGATTATGTGTGAATCGGTTGCTCCATTACCGACTATGTAGAGCCTGTTTTTAGCTGTAGGCCCTTCCTCCCTTCTGAGCATCCATCTCCCTCTCTGAACAGCAGGAACGGCACTTGGGTCTCACGAGACTGTTGAAGAGTGGAAACGCTATGTGTACTTAGTAACCATTTAAGAATCAGCATTACAGTGCTTGCAGTATTAGATGATCTATATCCCCTACGAGCTCTGTAAAGGGGTTGTTTTCACAAATAGGGAAACCGAGGCAGAGGGTTAAAGAAAATTGCTAGCTGCCAAACTAGACTTCTAAGACAAGCACGCTGAGGCTAGAATCTTCTGTCACCCTCTACATTCCAGGGCTCTGTGTGGTGCTCTCTGTACCTGTGACCATGCCTACTTGTACAGAGCAATCTGTAGTTGCCTGTAAGTATGAGGAATGAGGAGGAGGCTGTGGAGCAGTGGAGATGAAAAAATATCCTCTAGAAGCTTTGGCAGCCCCAGCCTGTCACCCTGCATGCCTGGGGAGTGGAAGGGAATCTGGTTGCTGCTGTGAAGATAAACCCTGACTCCCCTGACTCCCAGGCCCAGTACAGCTCTTACCACTCTGTAGTTACAGGAGCCAAGGCCTCCTTGCTCTCCTGGGTCCCACATGTGAAAGGGATATAATAGACATTTTTAACAATATTTCCTCCCTTCCAGACTTCTATTGCTTTTGATGGCAGCAGCCCCTCCCTCCAAGCCTCCCCAGGATGGTCTTATGACAATGCTAAGGGGACTGTGTATTGACAGTCTGGAAAAGTAGCACATAGCCAAACATACATACTCACGCATGAACAGACACGCAGGGACACACACACACACTTGCGCATGCGCACATGCTTGCAAATGTGCACACGCTTGCACACATGCACACACACACACACACACACACACACACACACACACACACTGGAGTCACAAGGCTAATTCCCAGGAAAATAGTCACAGAGTAGGACAGTGAGAGAAGCACTGAGCATCAGCTCACACTGCCCTCTAACATCTGGGAAACGGACATTTGAAGACATGAGAGCAGTTGGAGGCCTCTGGTATTTATGCTACTGCTGCTACCCTGACTCCTCTCTGCTACTCTGTCCTCTTCCTCTCTCCCCTCCTCCCTCTCTCTCCCCCATCAGGGATCACTGCACAGTGCGGTGTCCTCTACTAACTAGATTTATCTTCTCTGTTCTCATCACAGACTATATTAGCAGTTTTATGTGACTTCTTCCTCCAACTCATCACCATCAACTCAGAAAAACATCCTTCAAATACACTCCCATACTAAGAGACCATGGCTAAGGGTGGGAAAGGCCCCAAGGGCAAAAAGATCACCCTCAATGTGGCCAAGAATTGCATCAAAATCACCTTTGATGGGAGAAAGCGCCTTGATCTGAGCAAGATGGGAATCACCACCTTCCCCAAATGTATCCTGCGTCTCAATGACGTGGATGAGCTTGACCTTAGCAGGAACTTGATCAGGAAGCTCCCAGACTCCATTTCCAAGTTTCAGAACCTGCGATGGCTCGACCTGCACAGCAACTACATCGACAAGCTCCCTGAGTCCATCGGGCAGATGACCTCCCTGCTTTATCTCAACGTCAGTAACAACAGGCTGACCACAAATGGGCTGCCCGTGGAGCTGAACCAGCTCAAGAACATCCGCACAGTGAATCTGGGTCTCAACCACCTGGACAGCGTGCCCACCACATTGGGGGCATTGAAGGAGCTCCATGAGGTCGGACTACATGACAACCTGCTGAATACCATTCCTGCCAGCATCTCTAAGCTCCCAAAGCTGAAGAAACTCAATATAAAGAGGAACCCCTTTCCAAAGGCAGATGAATCAGACATGTTTGTAGACTCCATCAAAAGGCTGGAAAACCTATATCTGGTAGAGGAGAAGGATCTGTGTACATCTTGTGTGCAAAAATGCCAACAGGCCAGGGACAAATTAAACAAAATCAGAAGCATGGCTCCTACAACACCAAGAAAAGCCATCTTTTCCAACTTGGTTTCACCCAACTCAATGGCAAAGGATTCCCAGGAAGACTGGAGGTGACCTGGGACCCTGACCCTGAGGCGGGAGGAGGAGGCAATAAGCTTCACCTAAAGAAAAGGGTTGTGTTATTATAGGAGCTTTTTTCATCCAAGCCATAAAACACAGTTCCCTACCTCTTGGACTATGGTTTGGTTGATTGAAGGGCTTTGTCTCTTGCCATTCTGAACTTCATTTCTTCCCTGCATGCAGCCCAGAGAACCAAGGACCCTCATCTATCTGTCCCTCTCATTCTGTACTGAACTCTCCTGGTGCCACCCACGGCCCAGGGAGATAATACTACCAACACAATCTTATTATCACTGTCATTTGGAGCCACATTGTGAGATCCTAAATATGGAACTCATTCCATGGGAAATTTTTGGGTCTGGGTTTCATAGGAGAGCAAATGGCCCAGAGATGGACAGGTATTACCATTAAACATTTCTGGCCAGGAAATAGCCAGAAGCAGTCCTTTCAACTCCATTTGCATAGTTGCTCTAGGAGCTTTCCTGAAGGCCCTTGATGGATTGTGAACATGCCTGGTGCCCCTTGAGACCCATAGGGAGAGAGGTCATCATGATAGGTGCAGGGCCATGTGCAATGGAGAAAAGCTTGGCTGGCAGTGTGCAAGCTGGAAGAAAAACTGTCTGAAAGGAGTTGGTTAGAGCATTCTGAGAAACTTAGAGGTCAGGGACCTGTGGGCTTCTGAGGCAGGAAGCATGGAGCAGACATTCAGTGGACTTCAGTTCCCTCCATGAAGGAGAGCCTAGAATGCAGCCAAAACACTGCCATGGACAGAGTCAGGAGCCACACTGGTTCTTTAGGCAGAAATGACAATTGTGGCAATGATGTTTCCTTAACTGTAGGACTGTAAGCCCTATATACCACACACACACACACACACACACACACACACACACACACACACACACACACACACACAATAAGCCTATAGTGTCTCTTTCACTCACAACTTCATAGGCCTAAAAGATAAGGGCAGAGGGAGACACCCTGCAAAGGCCTTTCCACTGAGGGCTAAATGGGTGGCAAGCTATGCAGTAGTGACCAGTGCACAGCTCTGAAGGCCCCCATACCAGGGACAAGCAGTGGCCAGTGGACAGTTCTAGAGGTCTCCATGCAGGGGACAGGATAATTTCTTCTTTACACTGCAAGCCACAGCAAACAGCACCCTTCACCTTCTAGCTACTCAGGACTCATTTTCTTTTCATGATGCTTAGCTTGCAACATTCCCTATCATACTCCTAAAATCTCAGAATATTCTAGATTAAAAATGCCCATTGTGGTTTCTCCTGTTTATTAAATATTTTTCATTACAAAAATAACCAAAGCAAAGTCTAGCTTTAAACAGAGTAGCTTACCATTTCCATCATTCTGTGGTGTGAGCCAGCTATAATAGTGGCATGCTTTCTTCCTAGTTATTTTTCTCTGTGTATGTTTCCACATGGCTAAAATGAGATCATTCATGTCATTTCTGCCATGTTTGGAAACCCATATTGTCACATGGTCTTTGGAGCCAACATTGTAAACATCTGCAAGACAGCAGTTCTCATGATATGCATAACTACGTTCCTGTGGGCATTTTTGTTGTTTCCAATTTTGCACTAATGGAAATAGTTCTGTGATGAGTGTCTGGAAGACTAAAACATTGTAACATGGTTTGAATTATTTTCTGGCAGTCCTGCATCACTGGAAACGGTGTGCTCTAGAGTCTTTTTTAAAATAGTTGTGACACATGTCATCAAGGGACTGTACACCAGCAATATATACCACAGAACTCACTCATCACATCCTCCCCAATATGGCTACTTCTCTTTACCCCTTTCTCTTCCTTTAATATGTCAGATGATTTATTGGAAGCCCATCTAAAGATGTCATATCTGAGATATGAATTACTACAACAGGGCCCTTGGCACAAGGATCCCTGAAGGAAACATATCTATTGAGAATGGAAATAGTCACTCAAACAGCCTGGTCTCAGGAGAAAGATACTCTGTCAGGTCTGATGATGGGGCCCACAGCTAAGTCTACAAGCATGCATTTCCCAGCTTTTGTTTCCTCTTCTCTTTTCTTCTTCTTTGCCTGTCCTCACCACTATGCATCCTAGGCTGGCCAGGCGTTCACTCTATAGACCAGAACAATAGCCAAGGAAGGCAGTAAGGGAAGCACTGAGCATCTTTCAATCCAGCCTTGCATCTCTAACATCTTGGAAACTGAAGTGTCAAGATGTGAGTTGACAGCCTGTGTTGTCAGTTGTTGCTGCTGATGCCTTGACTCCTCTCTGCTACTCTGTTTCTTTCTCTGTAGCATCAGGAATCACACTCTCTTAATTAGATTCATCTTTTTCTATTCTTATGGGGGGGCAGTATTCTGGCAGAAATCTGCCTATCTCTTCCTCCCAAGTGCTCGGATTAAAGGAACCATCCAGACAAACTGTTTCCCCTTCCATACAAGTTCTATCACTGCTACAGGGAAAAGAGACACTTAGAATTTCAATCTTCCAAGTTTTAGGCAAAACTCTAAATATATTCATTTATAAATTCACTAGTCAGATCTTAAGGTTGTGAGTTCTGGGGGCAGAATTTGTCTGGCCACTCAGGAATAGCATTTGGTTCTACCTTTTAGATGGGAAACTTCCAGGGCAATGGGTAAAAGCTGAGATAGGGAAAGTCCCTGCAGCAGGGGAACTAGTATTCCCTCCCTCCCTCCTTCCCTCCCTTCGTCCTTCCTTCCTTCCCTGTCTCCCTCCCTCCCTCCTCCCTCCTCCCCTCCCTCCTATCCTCCCTCCCTCCTTCCTTCCTCTCTTCCTTAGCCAGTGGTTGACAGCACCTTCTGCCTAGCTTGTAATGAAATGGAAAAACTGAGTGGCTAGTATACAAGATGATGCTTCATTTCCATCCCCACTGGAGGTGCTTCCTGTACTCGCACTTTTTCCTGGGTCTTAGAAAGGGGTTCAAGCACACTCAACTTCATCAGAATTGAGAAACAAGCAGGGGAACATCTTTAATTTGTCTGGCATACCCTGCAGTTAGACCCATTTTTACCTAGGGAATGCTGGCTACCAGACAGAGCAAAGACTGGAGAAACAGAGCCCTTAGCCATTTTCTTCTGCATCTTATTTAATATTGGTGTTCTTTCTCGCTATGAAACGCCACTGCCATGCTTAGTCCCTGGAAGTTTCCTTAAGCCTGGAAAATACTTGATACAAAGCAATGGGTTTCTCTTTCCTCAAGTAGAACAAAAGATATCCGCAGTAACAGTGGTCTCTGTTTCTGAGAAACAGATACAGCCTGGGTGACCCTGTGTCCTGTGTTTTGCCCTGGTTGCCTGGAGCAGTTGCCTTAGTCTCTTGTGTCTCCATTTCTCAGGTTGCGCTCAACATCCAACTCCTAGAATAGCTTATGGCAAAAACATGAAGACCAATCAGCTAGCAGAAATAAACGACTCTGAAGAGGAAAATTCCAAAATTAGAAGACAGAGTGGCACAGGGAATATTCTGGAAGACAGGCTCTCCGGTGCTGCCCAAGTTACTGAATTGCTTTATGAATTTTACTCTGTTTCTCTTGGTTCTAGGCTACCTGCTTGTGAAAATGCCTTTGAGAGATATTTCATGTGGTTTTCTGCATGTTTGTAAAGAGAACATTTAAGAAAATTATAGATATACATAAACAGACAATTAAAGACCTAAAAGTCTACATTAAGACTGAAAAGTCTTTCAGTCTCTACATGTCACTCAAATGGTACAATCTCATCATCAGTAACTTGTAAAAATTATATATACATAATTACATACATCGAGGAGATAAAACATGTATGAAATATGCATATCAAGAAATATACTCAAACATACTATAGACAAGTTAAAGTAGAATTTTAACTATCTGCTTAGTTGTACACAAAAAGGCAGCAAAAGGAAAACAAGAATAATCAAGGAAAGCACAGACAAAAATTAAAATGGCAACTTGTGTTCTAACATTTTAATAATTACACTAAATGTAAACGGCCAATTTTATTTGTAGTGGCTCCAAACTAGAAACAACCAAATGGCTTTCAATCTACAAGTAGCTGAGCAAACTCTGGTAATCACATCATGAACAGAGTGCTACTCAGCAATAAAAAGAAACATACTGTTTGAATATGCAACAACTTGAACAGATCTTAGTGGTACTATTCTAGTTTTTAAAGGGTCAGTCTCCAAATGTTGCACAATGTGATTATATTTACAGAACAGTCTCTAAATGACAAAATGGAAGTTGTGAAAGGAAGTGAGTAGTTTCCAGTAGCTAGGAATGGCAGGCATTGCAGGGGTGAGTCTGATAGTGAAGTAGTAGAACAAGAGCTGCCTTTGTAATGATGGAATAATTACTCGTGAGGATTACGGTGGCACTTGCACAAATCTGCACACATGAAAAAAATCACAAAGATGCAAACATACATGGAATGGTACTGGTTATAAAACTGCATAAACCAGTGGTTAAACCTCCTGCTCCCATGGAGGATGTGAAGTAAATGAGGCATATATAGAGACCCTGCTGCTTTGCAACTTCCTGTGAACTATAGTTATTTTAAAAGCATACTTTAAAAAACTTAATCTAAACTCAATAATAAGCAGAGTTTTATATGTCTCTCCAATACAAACTTAAGAGTCACTCCAGCATACCAAGTAAGCTCTGAGCTGCAATTCTTTAGCCATGACACAGAGTTAATGCATTTCAAGCAAAAGACATGTTACCTGCAGCTCACTGGACTCATCTAACAGTATTCATTGTTGATTGTATCATTGCATAATCTAAGAAATCTGCTCCAAAAACTACATGGCTTCTGTGTCTGTGTTCTAGGCTTCATGGATTTAGCTGGGCACAGGGCGCCTCTGGGGTAAATGAACGACTAAGGTACTTCCCACAATTCCTAGACTTTCCCACATCTGTTCCCAATCCCATGTTGCTGCAGGGATGTGTAAGAAGCATCTGAATGCTGCAGTTTTGTTTGTCACACTCATTTTGAGTTTGTGACAGTATTTATTCTACCT